GACAGATAGTAAATACTCAATGTATTTTGGGCAAATGGATACACAGTAGGTGCTCGTACCTTTGCATGAATAGACACATAATAGGTACTCATGACTGTTGCGTGAATAGACACAGAGTAGGTGCTCATGAACTGTTGGGTGACACATAAAAGGCGCCGCAGGCCCAGAAGGCAGTGACTTGGAGGTGACCTCCCCCGAGTCCACCCCACCGCGGTTCCCCTGGTCTGGGTAATGTGGAGTGAGGCCGAGTTAAACATTAGCCGGCAGATGGGCTCGGAGGAAGGCCAGCTTCAGGACCTAGCGCCTTCCAGGAGGGGGCTATTAAGGGCCGACTCTCCGGTCCGCTGACCAGCCGGTGCGTGGGGAGGGGCCGAGGCTGAGGGCCACAGAGCGCCCCCTCCCGGCGTCGGGATCCCGGCGAGTCAGCCCTGCAGCCGGCGGCGTCACGTCGTCGGATCTCCGCCAGGCCCGGTTCCAGCCCCAGGAAAATCCAGGTGTATGGAAAACAGGTACACAAGGGGCTAGTTTCATATCAGCTAAAAATGCTTGCCGAGTGCTTGCAGGATGCCACGCACTGTGCGACAGTGGGGACAAAGGGTGAACAACCCCAGCTATCCTTGTCCTCATGGGTCTTGTAGTCCAGCAGGAACTGAATTAACTGACCAGGGAAACCCCACGATCTCCAAGCCGTCAGGGGGATTGACCATCAGAAACCTTCACCCTCAAGGGTCTTTTTCATAGTGTTTTTCTACACACACCTGTTTTCATGGACAAGCAGGTTGCTCCCAGTGAGCACTCTGACTTCGGATTCCCACATTGGGAAGGTGCATAATAGCACTTCCATTCTGAGATCCTTGTGAAGATTAAATGAGGTACCTTTTCAATACATTTGTGTGTGTGTGTGAGGAAGATCGGCTCTGAGCTAACATCTGTTGCCAATCTCCCTCTTTTTGCTTGAGGAAGATTGTCGCTGAGCTGACTGACATCTGTGCCAGTTTTCCTCTATTTTTTGTATGTAGGACAGCACCTCAGCATGGCTTGATGAGCAGCATGTACGTCTGCGCCCAGAATCCGAAGCTGCAAACCTCTGGCTGCTGAAGTGGAGCACATGAACTTAACCACTCTGCCCCCCAGGGGCCCCTACCTTCTCAATACATTATTAGCAATCATTACCAGGTGTCAAACCTGACCCATCAGCCCACCGTCTGTCAGTTGCAGGACCCAGCTAGTTTCCCCTTGGCTGCAAATAAACCCCTAAATTTGGCTCCTGCAAATCGGACAAGAGTGAAGAACTCAATAATCTTGGTGGAGTTGAATCAACCAGAGACCCTCACTTCTGAGCCAGACCAATTCTTTCCCTGCTCTGGATGCTGTGCTTTCATTATTCACAACAACCCTGAGGGTGGCTTCTATTGTTATTCTTGTTTTACAAAGGAGGAAACTGAGGCACAGAGAGGCTAAGTAACTTGGTCAAGACCTTAGAGGCTAGTGGGTGGCATAGTCCAGATTGCAATCTCAGTCAGTCTGATTCTATGTGTTATAGCCTGCTGCCTCCCTGGGGCATCAGATAATGGCAGGGTGTGGGTGCGAGACATTCAAGAGCAATGTCCTCCTCCCCTGCCATCTTGCTGGGTTTCCTCCCTCCAAGAGTCCTTACTCTGAACACCCATCCTTTGTGACCTGCTCCCTTCCCATGCATTATGGACTGTCTCCCCTGTTAGAACCTAAATTCTCCAAGGAGTAGGACACAAGGACATTATATGCTTTGCCACTCCTCCTGCAGGATCCTGCCTAGGGCCTAGCATATAGTAAATGCTTCACAAATACTGCTGTTATGGACTGAATATTTGTGTCCCCCCAAATTCATAGGTTGAAACCCTAACCCCTAATGTGATGGTATTTGCATGTGGAGCCTTTGGGAGGTAATTAGGTTTAAATGAGGTCATGAGGGTGAGGTCCCCATGATAGGATCAGTGCCCTTATAAAAAAAGGAAGAGAGACCAGAGTGTGTTCTCCCATGCTCTCTCTCTCAGCCATTTGAGGACACAGCAAGAAGGTGGCCATCTGCAAGCAACGAAGAGAGCCCTCACCAGGAACTGAAGCAGGCAGAACTTTGATCTTGGACTTCCCAGACTCCAGAACCGTGAGAAATAGCTGTCTGTTGTTTAAGCTGCCTGGTCTATGGTATTTTGTTATAGCAGTCTTAGCTCACTAAGAAACTTGCTGATAGATATATTTGGGGGACTGAATCTCATCCTCTCATCCTTCATCAGTAAATATTTATTGAACACCTCCTAGGTTCCCATTCATTCAAAGACGCTTATTAAGCTCTTATTATGTGTTCATGCAACAACATTCATTGAGGGCCTACTGTGTACACTAGGCAAGGCAATCCCATCCATGTTTCCCAGGAGATCTCTTAGTCTTGTGGGGATCCCTTACCTGTCAGTACCCAGAGGGGACACTTGCTCATTCTCACACATGCACCTGCTTGCTGCAAGGAGAGTTTCTTGCACAGCGAAGGAGCTTAGTAAGTGGTTCTTCAATGAATGCACAATGCTAGGTCCAGCAGGAAACTCAATGGTATAACCACGGTTCCTGCCTTTCCAGAGCCTTTATTCTATTCGAGGAGTTGAGAGTGACTAATAGAAGACAACACAACGGGGGCCGGCCCTGTGGCCGAGTGGTTAAGTTTGCGCCTTCCGCTTCAGCGACCCAGGGTTTCACCAGTTCGGATCCTGGGCATGGACATGGTACCGCTCATCAGGCCATGCTGAGGCGGCGTCCCACATAGCACAGAAGGACCCACAACTAAAAAGATATACAACTATATACTGGGGGATTTGGGGAGAAAAAGCAGAAAAATAAAAGGAAGATTGGCAACAGTTGTTAGCTCAGGTGCCAATCTTCAAAAAAAAAAAAAAGGAGAAGACAACATGAGGAAGTGAGCCTTAAGACCTACATTGCAGACGTAGGAGAGAAGATAGGAACCAGGATGGATGAATGGCAGCAGACTGGGAACTCTGGCCCTTGAACTTAGCCAAGTCAGGGATCTCGCTGAGCCTTAGTTTCTCTATCTGTGAAATGGCGATCCTTGTGCCCATTCCAGGGCTGTGTGAGGCTCAGTGTACAGGCACAGAGGGTTCTACCGATGCCCTCCAGGGAGAAAGAGCACAACAGTAACGAACTATTATTGTTATTAATGAAGACTACAACCCACAGCGAGCGGGGCCCAGCCACAAGGACAGAGTGATGCAGGGAGTGAGATCAGGGTGACTGATGAACCTGGAGCTGGTGGCCTGGTGAGCATCTTTCCCAGTTGGCGCTGGCTTGCCATGCATGCCTCCAGGGTTGGGGCTGACTATGGGTCGGGTGTTTGCTCTGGGAAGCAGCCCTGGCTGCTCCTTACACCCTGCCCTAGGGAGAAAGGAGGGCTTGGAGTCAGAACTGGGGCCTTGGGGGCCAGCCTGGTGGCGTGCCAGTTAAGTTTGCACGCCCGGCTTCGACAGCCCAGGGTTCACTGGTTCGAATCCCGGGTGCAAACCCAGCACCGCTTATCAAGCCATGCTGTGGTAGGTGTCCCACATATAAAATAGAGGAAGTTGGGCACAGATGTTAGCTCAGGGCCAGTCTTCCTCAGCAAAAAGAGGAGGATTGGCAGCAGATGTTGGCTCAGGGCTAACCTTCCTTAAAAAAACAAAAGGAACTAGGGCCTGTGCTTGGCCTGGCACCTATGACCCAGCCCACCTGCCCACAGGACCCAGGGCTAAGAATGCCCAGGAGGCAGAGCCCCAAGGGCTAGCTGGGTCATTTAGCTTTGGGACAATGTCTCTGCAGGACTCACCTGACCCTCAGGAAACTAGTCTTAGAGGGCCTGATGTGCTCAGCTTTTGGAGTTCTGGAGGTCAAGGCCTGCATGCTAGCATGGGGCTGAGGGTCCTGGGATGGAGGTGGGGGGGTGACATTGGAGGTGGAGATGCCCATGCTGGCTTCTCTGCCCCCTAGAAGAGCCCCCGAGCTCCTTCATCAGTGCCGGCTTCGTGATCATTCACCTGTGCAGTCACACAAGCCTGGCACTTAGAAGGTCTCATGCTTGGCTGAATGTTCTGCCATCACCACCTTGAAATTCTTCATCTCTTTTGAACACAGGGCCCAGCATTTTCATTTTTCACTGGGTCCAGCAAGTTATAGAGCCTGTCCTGCCTTTGTGATTTGGTTTCCCCCAGTGTATAGCTTTTCCCTGAACGGGGGCTTCCGACGCACTCCTCAGCCACGCCCAGCCAGCTAGGATTGCCTTAGGTAAGCCCATTTCCTAATGGCGGGCAAGCAGCTGCCCCGGCTACCCAATGGGACCAACCTCTCCGAAAAAGCCCGAGGCCGGCTGTGCGATGGTGGGTAAGTCACTCAACTTTCCTGAGCTTCTGGCTATGATAATATTGTACTTACCTCAGTTGGACTGTTGGGAGGGTTAAAAGAGGTATTTCATATAAAGAGCACAATGCCTGGCACAAAATAAGTCCTCTATAAATTAGAACTACTAGTGTGTTTTAAAAATGAGGATTATTAGGGGCGCTAACTTGGAGGGCGGGAGGGAGGGAGGGGTCGGCTCCGGATCCCTACGGACCTGCCCCAGGAAGGAGGAGCCGCCCCTCCCGTGGCCCCGCCCCCCTGCCTTCCGAGGGAGGAGACCCCCCTCCAGGGCAGGGACGAGGGGGCGGAGGAGCGGGAGCCACACATTTTTGAGTCGTGACCAAGTGGAAACTCCCTCCCTGAGGCGGAAGCCGGGGGCGCCCCACTGGGGCCGGAGCCTCCGCCGGGGCGGGATCCTCGGGCCGGGGGTGGGGCGCCGCGGGGGACCCGGGCCCCGCCCCTCACCCGCCTCATGAATATGAATGAGCCGGCTGGGGCGAGCGGAAGTGCGGGGCGGCCCCGGCCAGACTGGCCCCGCCCCCGCCGCCGGCCCGGGGCCTGGGGGCGTGGCCTGGCCTTGGACGCCCCGCCCACCGCCCCGCGCCGGGCCTCCTTCCGGCGGGCGCGCCCCGGACGTGACCTCGCGGGCGCGCGCCGGAGCCGCCCTTGGGAGGCGCCCGCGCCCCCCGCACAGGTAGGGCCGCCCTTTGTCCCCGGCGCCGCCCCCTGGAGCCTGGTCCAGCCTCCAGCGCCGGCTCGGGTACCCAGTGTGCGCTCCTCATCTTGCTCTGGCCCGGCCTGGGCGACCCCAGGGCGGGGTCCGCCGCTGAGCCGGGCCCCCAGGGCGCCCGCGGCTGGGGAGACGCGACGGGGATCCTTCCTTCCCGCTGGCGTGGCGCACAGGATGGAGGGTGCGGCACAACCTGCCCTCAGGGGGCTTAAGTTCCAGAGCGAGAGAGGCCAAGGGGTGAACCACTCCAATGTCCAGTAGTCAGACGAGTGTCAGGGTCGGGAGAAACGCGGGGAAGGGCATCAAGCAGGCGGCCAGGGAGCGTCCCTGAGAAGGTGACTTTTGAGTCAAGACCTGGAGGAAGGAGGGAACAAGCCGGTGCCTGGGGGTCTGAGGAGCCGCAGGGCGTTGAGGCCGCTGTGGCTGGAGTGGAGAGGGAGAGAGCGTGATGAGGATGGAGTAATGATAGTAATGGCTCTCCTGTCGACTAGGTGAGTAGGTGCCGGCGACGTGCTAGCTGCTGTACGCATATTATTTCCGTTCATCCTCAGGACAACCCGGACCTCCCTCCTGGGCCCTACCGTTAGCTGGGAGGAAATTGGGCTCTGGGAGGTTGAATAACTTGCCCAAGGTCACAGCACTGGAGCCCAAGGAGACTGACGTCATTGTCTGAAACACGCCCTGGAGACCTTGAGAAGACAGGTCCTCTTTGCTGCCCCTCAGTTTCCTCCCAAAGTGCTAGAGGGAGAGGGTGGTGACTGACCTCCTGAAGGGAGGGATGTGCAGGCAGGGTTCTTTTTGCTGACAGTCTGCCCCAAAGCTGCTGTAATGCATATCCAGCCATTGGGGCCCTGAGACCGGTGCACAGTTGAGGGTGCACAGATGAGGGTGTAGAGGGAGCCTTCCCGGACGTCTGATCTCCTGGGAGAGGCTTTTGTTGTCTGGGAAGCACTTGTCACCCCTCCAGGCTCTGGAACAGGTACAAGTGGCTTCGGGGGAGGGAGGGCGGAAGGCCCAGAGCCTGGAAGAGGCTGCTTCTGGAAGTTGGGATGGGGTGGAGAGCCCAGGATGGCTGAGTGCTCTGGAGCAGGAGCGGTAACAAAGGCGGTGTCAGCCAGGCAGGCTGTGTGTACTCACCAGCAACTGCAGAACAAGCAGAATCACCCAGACGTCCCTGTGAGCCTGGAGAGATGAACACACACAAAACCCGCCCAAGTCTACGCCTGCCAGCCGGTTCTCTGACCACCCCCCAGAGGAGCTGCGAAGGGCCTCGGGGTTGCCAGTCGGGGCCCTGCCGGCTGTGCTGACCACTGCTCTGCTGGGGGTGGGGGTGGGGTGTTTTGTGCTCCTGTGAAAATCTGCCTGTGCCTCTGGTCCCAGGCAGGCTTGTGGGTTTCTAATGGGGGCAGAGATGGCGAGTCTTTTGCAGTTTGCCCCTTCTCCCGCCTGCCACAGTTTCTAGTCTTGGCTTTTGGTCTGTGGTGTGAAATGTGGCCCTGAGGAGTGGGACCCAGCCTTCTGTGTCTGAGCCTCAGGTCCTCAGGCAGTCAGAGGTCCTGGGGGTACAGGACTAGGGGGGGAACTTCCTATGAGGCCTGTTTGGTAGATGAGAAAGAGGCTCGGAGAGGTTAAGTGGTTTGCCAGAGAGCACACAGCTATAAAGAGAGACGGGATCCAAGTCCAAACTGTTTGACTCCTCAGGGAGTGGATTCACCTCACTAGAGGGGATATACTTTGCGTTTGGCTTGGAGATCCCCCCCCTCCACACACACACATACACACATTCTGGGGGTATAGGGATGGCAGAGGAGATGACGTGCAGGGGACAGAGACACTTTCTGCTCTTCTCAGCGACACAGTCCCCAGGCCTTGTCCCCAGTCCTTTGTGTCTGGATGGAATCAGTCCAGGTTCTAGGGTAGTACTGGTGCAGGTGGGGCCAGAAGCACCTTAGGGGGCGCCTGGCAGGGTCATCCAGCCAGGGCTTCCTCCTCATGAAGTCTGGGACTTTGGTCTTAGAGCTAGGCCCACTGGGTAAATGACTCCACCTAGGTGCCCGGGACCCATCTGGCCTTGAACTAAGGGGCCAGCTGGGAGTGTGGTGGTGCCCAAGTGGAGGGAGAGAGGTCGTGAGACCACTGTGGATAGAATGCTGGAAGGAGATGAGGGTGGTCCCCTCAGCAACCCCTGTGGGCCAGGGCTTGTGGCCAACAGTTGCTCTCTGTACATTGTTGTATACTGGTGTTGAGCTGGTCCCTCATTCCCTCCAGACTCCTCACCTCCCTGGCGATCTTCTGAGTCTTAAAGCCTCTGTGGGTTCTCAAATTGGACATGCTAAACCAGTAAGTGCAGGATGGGGCCCAGGGATCTGCATTTTTAACAAGCTCCCAAGTGATTATGATGCACGTGGTCCTCTGACTAAACCTGGAAAACCACTGTCCTGGACCTCCCAGCCAGGCAGCCACGAGAAACCCCTTCCGGAGCCTTCTGGCAGATCGGAGCCTGGGGTGTGTAATTGTTTTCCACGACTGGATTTAAATGCATTCCAGTCTCCGTTGGGGCGCTGTCATCAGCTGAGCTGTTCCCCTGTTTAAAATAAATGATGAAGTCTCAAGGGAAAGCCCTGTCTCCAACCCTCCCCCGCCAAGTTTCCCAAAAGAGCAGGCTGTGCTAGATCACCCACTTACTGCTCAGCTCCTTGCTCTGTCCTAAGCTGTCCGCTCATGCAGATGTCACACGGAGACCCCTCAGCTGCTTCTCCAACAGCCTGTGGTTCTCCTCACCTCCTAAAGCCCTTCAGGGTGTGCTCCTCCTCCCCACCTGCCCGTGGCCCTAAAACCAGGTGTTTCCTACCCTTCTGGCCTTGGACCTTCTTAGTTGGATGCTTTTCCTCAGCTGCAGAGGCAGAAGTGAGGGGAACCCCCATCTCTGTTCAGGAGAGTCCCCAACATTTATACCCAGCCTCTGGGGTGCACCAGGCCTACTGTTTTAGGGGCTAGCTTGGTATCTCCCCTTGGCTAGCCCACTGGGGCTCTTCCACACTGGCTCTTTGAGGGGCCAGCCGGGTGGCGTAGTGGTTAAGTTCATGTGCTCCGCTTCAATGCCCAGGGTTCAAACGTTGGGATCATGGGCGTGGACTGACACACCGCTCATCAAGCCACACTGTGGCTGTGTCCCACATACAAAATAGAGGAAGATTGCCACAGGTGTTAGCTCAGAGACAATCTTCCTCACGAAAGAACCCCAGAAAAACAAAAACCAGGCTCTTTGATTTGAGGGGAATCTGGCTACACCTGTCACCCTAGGGTGGTCCAGCCAGTGTGGGTTCTACGTAGCTCTTTCTCGAAGCTGCCCACCCTGACAGAGGAAAGAGCACCTGCCATCTTTAAGGAGGCCCATCTCAGTAGCCAGGCTTCCCTGCCAGAAACTTCTGACTTCTTTTTGCTTCCCTGATAGAACTGTCCCTGAGCCCCCCACCCCGCTGGTGTCTGTTCTAGTGCCCCAGGCTTGCAGCCTCGCAGTCTCTCTGCATCTCGCCCCTACCTGCTCCCCCTCCAGGCTTGTTCAGCTTCCACCTTGGCAGCATCTCTCACGCCAGGAAGCTTCCCTAAGGGAGTTCTCCTTAGGGAATTCCCCAGTGGCCTGCCCACTTTGCTGAGAGCTGGACACTGAGCCCAGGGGCATCAGTTGAAGGGGCAGGCCCCCTCTGGACCAGCCCTTCCGTCACCTGCTCTAAGACTGCCCAGCTTTCCTCCATCTGTGTTAGGGGCCATGTGGCGTTGGGTCAGTGTCCCTGGCCAGCGTCAGGGGTCTTGGTTCAGATCCTGGTTTTGCCCTAACCAGCCCTGTGAGCCAACAGATTCCTTGAGCCCTCGGAGTTCCGGTTTCCTGGTCTGTAACATCAAAGCTGGTAATAGTCCTATCTCACAAGGATCTTGTGAGGACGGACGTTACATGACCTCATCTCTAGGTGTCCTTAGCACATAATATTGCCTGATCTGTATTATCACATTTAATCCTCAAAACCACCCGGCTGGGTAGATCATCACTGTCAGGCCCATTTTGTAGGTGAGAAGAGGAAGGCTCAGAGAAGCCCAGTGATTTGCCCATGGCACACAGCTATAAAGTAGCAGAGGTGGGACTCAAGTGCAAACCACTCCAGAGCCTGAACTTCTAACCGCTAACCCCCTCTCTGGGTTCTCGTTCTTTGTCTATCTACAGCATGCCTGCTGCCTCAGGGATAGCAGTGAACGAACAGATGAGGCTCTCGCTTGCATTACATTACATCGCAGTGTGAGCACAGATAGGAAGAGAGGTGTAGGAACTTGGTGGAGCCCCCTCTTCCTCACTGTCTGCCCTGGGGGCACAGACCAGGAGTCCTGTCTGATTCCCCACTGCGCCTTGAACCTGAAGGCCTGCGGGTGGTGGGCATTGGCTGGATTGCACTGGATTTAGGTTTGACCTTGTGAAGGAGGATGTGGCTCACAGCAGGACCTGGTGTAGGGTTTGAAGGCATTGGAATCCTCGGGGGTGGGGGCAGTGTGGGCATGGAAGGAACCAGGTGAGTCACAGGCCAGGCTGAGGGCAAGCTTTATTAGGGAACTGCCTGCAAATCAAGACCCCCCTGTGCTATACCACTTCACAGCCCCCAGGATGGCCTTGACAAAAGAGGAGGGGCAATAACAAGTGCAGAGGAGGGTAGGGAGGAACTGGAGCCCTTGCACACTGCCAATGGGATTGTCCAATGGGGCAGCCACTTTGAAACAGTCTGGGGGTTCCTCAACTTAGAGTCACCATTTGACCCAGCGATCCCATTCCTGGGTATATACCCCAGAGAAGTGAAAACACATGTCCACACAAAACTTGTACACAGATGTTCGTAGTTGCATTCTTCATGATAGCCAGAGGGTGGAAGTAACCCAAACGTCCATCAACAGATGAATGGATAAACAGTTGTGGTCTGTCCACACACTGGAATGTTATTCAGCCTTAAAAAGGAATGAAGTACTGGTGGATGCTATAACCCGGATGAACCTTGAAAACAAGATGCCCAGTGAAAGAAGCCAGATGCAAAAGGCCATGTACTGTATGATTCCGTTCTATGAAATGTAGGCAAACCTATAGACAGAAAGTAGATGAGTGGTTGCCAAGGGCCGGTGGCGGGGGAGATTGGGGGTAACTGCTACGCAGTGCAGGGTTTCTTTTTAGGGTAAGAAAAATATTCTAAACTTGATTATGATGATGGTTGTGCAACATTGTGAATATACTGAAAACCACTGAATTGTATACTCTAAAATGGTAAATTGATTGGTATGTGAATTATATCTCAATAAAGCTTTTATTAAAAAATATGAGCCAGACTTCCCACGTTAGTGCTGACAGCAGGCAGAAGGAAGAGGACTCAAGAACTCGCCGAGGGATTGGGGGAGATACTTTGAGGTTCCGTTGCTGCTGTTCTCGTGAAATGATGGCTGAGACGGGACTCTGTAGAGGAGCTTTCGGTTCATCCTTCCGGCCTCAGTTTACATGTTACCCCTGAGAGAGGCCCCCAGAACCTTCCCTTTGTCACTTATTGTCCATTTCACCCCATTCTTTCTTTCCTTTATAGCTCTTCCCACACTTGGAATTGATTTCTGTCCGTGGACCCAATCTTGTCTGACTCTCTTGCTGGGCTGAGTTCCACGAGGTGGGGGCTTGTCTATATCTCGTTCACCGCAGAGAAGGTGCTGGATGAATACCTGTTGAATGAATGAATGCATGTCTACTGGGGGTGGTCTGGGCTGGGGTCGGTGCTCGCTGCAGAGGAGGGAGCGAGCAGAGCAGATCAGGGTGTCTCCTGGCCCCAGTGGCTTTCTTTTTCTCTCTGTTCCACTTCCAGGAGAATGTCTGTGGAAAGGAAGCCCAAAGCCTGGTCTGGGTCTGGCTGGGAAGAGGCGCGCGGGGAGGGGAGGGGAGAGGAGGGGAGTGGGGGCGAGCAGGCCTGGGGAGGAAGTCTGCAGCCCCAGGCTGCCCTGCTGAGGGCGGCGTCTGTGTTTGCACCTTTGGAATGTGGCTGACTCACTCTGGAGGGAGCCCTGTGCAGCCACCGCTGCCGCCTTGGATCCGACATCTGGAGGCTGAATTCCAGGAGGAGAGAGACAGATTCCTGCAAGCAGATGCCAGCTTTGAAGGTCAAACTGAGCGATGGAGCTGCTGTGAGAGGAGGCGAGAGGGTCCAACACTCCCCTCCAGGATTCCCCCCCAGGATTCTGGGAGAGAGGTGAGGCCCCCTCCCGGCATAGTCCCAGCCCCTAAGCTATGAGATCCTCTAAGGGGACAGCCTGGAGCAGGGAAACAGCCTAGCTCTGCAGTCAGACGTGGGTTCAAAGACCGGTTACTTAACAGCTCATATAACTGCAAAGGCCAAGGGCTTAGCTGGTCCAGGCCCCAGCAATGGTGCTGGGACACTGGCCTGCATCTCCTGGCCCATGTCCTCTGGTGGCTTTCCTCTCCGGCCAGCACTCCCCGAGGCCTGTGAACTCCCAGCTTGTCTCTGCCCAGGACTCCAGCAAGACCCTCTCCTCGGCCCAGTTGTGGCCCAGCACATCCTGGACACTGATTGGACAGGTCTGGGTCAGGAGCTCATCCCAGCACAGGGCTGACACTCCTAGAACCACATGGAGAAAGTGGGACTCGGGGATCCCCCAAGGAGCCAATGCCAGGTGGTAGGCAGAAACAGCAGACACACCCACTCTGCTAAACTGCTACCACAGGCCTGGCTCTGGGGCTTGTCCCAGGCACTGTGCTCAGCTTTATGGCTTTTGCCTACCCGGTGTCCCACGGGTTCAGTTCCTTAAGCTCTCGGAAGCTCCTTTTCTTCATCTATGAAATCTCAGAGGAGTCTTTGCAGGATTGAATGAAACTGTGCAGGCAAATCCCTTGGCACCTGCCTGGCCCAGAGGAGGCACGGTGCTGACTCGTCCGCTTCTCATTCTCTTCCCTTTACCTAGGTTCTATGCGATCTGCCCTGTGGGCTGAGAGGACGGTGCATGTGTGCGTGTGTGTGTGCATGCGTGTGGGCAGCACCTTTTCTCTTCTCCAAGGAGTTTTGTATTGGTTGGCTTCTCCCCAGAGAGGGTTAGAGACCACACAGGACAGAGAGTGGAAGCAGGAGGGCCAGGAAAGGGATGGAGAGAGAAGCATGTGGGCCTCACCTGCAGGCCTGCAGGCTCAGGCCTGCCTCTGGGTGTCGCCTCCCTGTGCCCTCAGCTCCACCTGGGGCTGGAGGAGGGGCCCAGGTGTCCTCCGCTCTGCTCCAGTTCTACTGAGGAGTGGCTGCCCCTGTCCATCCCATGCCACATCATAGGCGTGTCTGGTCATTTGACATTGCCGGGAGGGCCTGAATCAGGCTTGCTGATCTCTTATATTCTCTCTTCTCCTGGAACCCTGGAACCGGGGAGTGGGTCAGAAGGGGACCCCAGGCCTGGGCTTCTCAGAAGAGGAAACTCAGTGCCTAGCGTAGTCTGAGCCTCTCCCACACCTCGGGAGAAGCCTGGAGCTTCTGGGAGGGCGGAGGGCAGGCCTACTGTGAGCTTTTTGCAGCTATTTGTGAACTGAAGTAGAGCACCTCCCAGAATCTGCTTGGGGCACATGGAGCCCTGGAATGAGTGTGCCACCCTCTGGGCTTGGCGCCCTCCGCTGCTGCCAGCCCTGCCCTGTGGCACAGGTCCACGGGTGCCTGCTCGTCCTATCCTCGCCAAGCCACCCAAGTCCTCTGATTCTCAGCCCAAATGCCGCCTCCTTGGAGAAGCCTTTCCCATTGGCCACGAGGACCCGTGGCTCTTGTCTAAGGCAGTGCTCAGTACCTCAGCGGAGCTTAATCGGGAACACCACATCAGCCAACGTCCCCAACACAGCGATCGGCGGCCCCTGCCGTCAGTCTTTCCTCCACATCCTATGTGCACCGAGTGTGACCCCCTGTGACGGTCGTTCCAGGCTGCCAGGACCACGCTGCCTGGCTCTCTTATGGATGTTGAACGTTCTTTAATGTGTTCATCGGTTCTCTTCCATTATACGACAGACTCTCTGACATTGAAGGACATAGTAATAATGAGAGCCACATTTTCTGAACTCTTACTAACTTTTTTTTAAAAATTGAGATATAATTCACATTACTATAAAAGTCACCCCTTTAGGCGCTGGCCCTGTGGCCGAGTGGTTAAGTTTGTGCGCTCCACTTCGGTGGCCCAGGGTTTCACCAGTTTGGATCCTGGGCACAGCATGGCACCGCTCATCAGGCCATGCTGGGGCTGCGTCCCACATAGCACCACCAGAAGGACCTAGAACTGGCATATACAACTACGTACTGGGGGGCTTTGGGGAAGAAGAAGAAGACGGAAAAAAAAGAAGATTGGCAACAGATGTTAGCTCAGGTGCCAATCTTAAAAAAAAAAGTCACCCCCAGCAGTTTCATTACTTGTAACAAATGTCCCACTCGGATGGGTAATGTTGATAATGGAGGATGTATGCATGTGAAGGGGGCAGGCGGTGTATGGGAAATCTCTGTCCCTTCTGCTCAGTGTTGCTGTGAACTTAAAACTGCTTTAAAAAAAATAAAATCGATTAAAAACAAAAAAGAAACACTGAACCCATCCGCAGTCACTCCCCATTGCTCTGTCCGCCCAGCCCTTGGCAATCACCAATCTGCTTTCTGTCTCTACAGACACTACATGGCCTTTTCGTGTCTGGCTTCTTTCACTGAGCATCACGTTCTTGAGGTTCATCCATGTTGTAGCATTATTAGTACTTTGTCCATTTTTACGGGTGGATAATATTCCATTGTGTGGATGGACCACATTTGTTTATCCATTCATCCATCAGTAGATGTTTAAGTTGTTCCTGCCTTTGGCTGTCGTGACTAGTGCTGCTGTGAACATGGATGTACAAGTTTTTGTGAAGACGAAGGTTTTCAGTCTAAGTGCTTTTTTTTTTTTTGAGGAAGCTTAGCCCTGAGCTAACATCTGCTGCCAATCCTCCTCTTTTTTCTGAGGAAGACTGGCCCTGAGCTAACATCTGTGTCCATCTTCCTCTACTTTCTATGTGGGACGCCTACCACAGCATGGCTTTTGCCAAGCAGTGCCATGTCCGCACCCGGGATCCAAACTGGCAAACCCTAGGCTGCCAAAGCAGAACATGTTCACTTAACCGCTGCGCCACCGGGCCGGCCCCTCCATCTAAGTGCTTTTTGACAAACACCTCATTTAATCCTCACAGCAGCTCTACGTGTCCATCTGGCACGACACCGCCTTCTGCACATGAGGAAACCAAGGCTCGGAGGGGAGTCAAGTTCACACAGCTGGAAGTGGTGGAGCTGGGATTCTGCAGCTCCGGGCCACCAGGACCCCGTGATGCCTACTAAGGTGTTTCTGTTCATTTTTAGCAGAGCCTTGCCGAACCCTGTCCACAGTAAATGTTGCTGACTCTTGAAACAAGGGCCATGCAAACTTCAAGCCCCTGAAGCGCTCTGTGATCTGTTAAGGTGAGCTCCGGTCACCTGCTCTTTGGAGATCCTGTGGCCCCAGGGGACATAACTTGGGGGGTTACAGGAGGTTCCTACCTCCGCAGAATCGTCATCCACAGATCCGAGTGGGACAGGCATTTCCCCTGCTTCCTCTGGATGCTGTTCTCAGCCGCACCACCTTGTGGGGCAGCAAGCCGAAACATTACTGGCCCTGTGCTTCATCTACAGCCGCTTTCCTGGGGTCCCTGGGCTGGCTTTCATCTCTTGCCTTCTTGGATTGGCACATAGACATGTGTTCACCTGCTAGTGAACTCTGCTTCTTCCACCTTCCCTCAGGTCATGGTGGGCAAGCGTTTGAGTCCTGCCATCAGATAAGCCCAGGTTCAAGTCAGCTTTGTCACCCTGGCTTTGTGGCTTCGGGCAAGTTTCTGAACTTCTCTGAGCTTCCGTTTGCTCATCTATAATGGGGGTCACAATTATATACCTACTGAGACACTGGTACCGTGGTTGTGGGATTGACTAAGAGATGGGAGATGGGGTGCTCACACAGTGCCCAGCACCTCGCACACACTTGGGAGGCACAGTCAGTCCTCACTGCAAAGGCAAGCTTGCAGCGGGCCCGGGGAGGGAGTGGGGAGCTTTGTGCGTCTCCCTGCCCCTGGAGCAGCGGGAGGCTCCCATGACTCAGTTCTGGCCAAGGAGGGGGAAGGCCAGGCCTCTGAGATCGGGGCCCCAGGGGACCTCTGCGTCCTCCTCCCTCTCTGCCCTCTGCCCGTCTCCCCACCCAGTGCTTCCGGCAAAACTGGGCAGGGCCCAATGCAGTCTCTGTTGGTCCCCTGGGCACGGCCCACCCCTTCCCCAGATCTGCAGCATGGACCTGCTGCCCCAAGGGCTTGGGTGCTGTCGGTGATGGTGGAGCCCCCTAAGTGGGTGCCACGGCCATCGGCCTGAGGCAGGAGAGGGGAGGACCTCCTCTGGCTGCCGGAGCGGAGCCGCGGGCTCCTGCCAGGGAAACCCTCTCTCCTGGCCGCTGCTGTTCAGCCTTTCCCAGCCCTGGCCCTCTCCTCCTGCTTCTCACATTTCAGCTTCTGAGTTACTGGCACCGCTGCTGCTGCTGCCGCTGCTGCTCAGGCCACTGCACCAGACAGACGTTAACTCCCCGTGTGCTGGTGGCGGCAGCAGCAGAGCCGGAAATGGGCTCGAGGTCCAGAGGTGCTGGGGGAGGAGAGAGCGGTCCTGAAACCAGTCCCTTTACTCCAGCCGGTTCCCCTCTGGAGATCTTACCTCCCTCCTTCCTCCCTGTCTGCCCAGACTTGAAGCTGGAATCTTCCCGCCCTCCAGTTGTTCCTTGGTTTGGGCACCGACAGTCGACCACAGCATGTGGGTTCTCTATCACCGTGTCCTTGACCTTGCCCTTTCACGAAGACCGGTTTTCTCCCTCCACATCCTTCACCGCACCCAGGCTGGCTCCCCTCTTGTATCCGACCTTACCTGGCCAGGGCTGGGCTGCCAGTACCAGGTGAAGTCTGGAGTCCTGGGGCTGGCCTGGAAGCTGTCTTGCGGGACAGCAGCACAGGCAGTCGTGAGGACTCTGAAGGCCACCAGCACTGGCACTGACCACCAGGATGATCTTGGTCACTAGGACTCGGGTGCTGCAATGAGAATGAGACAGCAAATGCAAGTAAGGCTGCCAGAGCAGCATCTGGCCCACGGTGGGCACAGACCACTCGTGCTCACGTACACATGTGTCTCCCCACACACTGGGCTCTGAGCCCACCCCGCCCCAGGGACAGCTACTCCTGTTTTCCTGTCTGCCCCCTCCTTCACAGCCCACCAGGTCTGCTTTTTTATCAGAGCAGCCTCTCTCCCTCCCCTGACCTGGCCAGTCCCAGCCTGTCCTTTTCCAGCCTCAAATGGGATTTAACATCCTGCCTTCTCTCCCTCACCTCTGTTCACTCCTCTGGAGGAGAGGCGACTGCCCGAGAAGGAGGAGGATGACACTGGACATCCTCTCCCAGCTCAAGAGCACCCCCAGTTGTCCTCTTCCTATATCCCTCTGCTTCCTGCCTTTCTCCTGAACCCCAAATGCTCCCTCTCAGTTTCTTGGGCACCTCTGCTGACACTTGGCCCTCTCTGGCTGCACCCCCTTGGTCCCTGGGCTGACTTACTCTCCTTTTCTATTGACCAGAGGCCCTGAGTTTCTGTCCTCCCCTTCCCCCTGCACACCCTGGTAGGAAGGGCCCAGGCTGGGTGTCAGGTCCCACCTGTACCCCATGCCTCGAGTTCCTGGTCTGCCCAGTGAGATGGTTATAACTGTCCCATCTGCTTACAGAGAATCAACTGAGGAAGCGGTCAGACAGCCATTTCTGTCTAAAACCAAACCAGTCCAGCCGGGTGGCCATACATTGAATTTTCATAAAGGGAATGCGCCTAATTGAAGCACAGTACCTGGTTCCTCCTTGTTGCCATGTTGAAGAGCAGAGACGTTTCCCTGGGGGAAAAGTCCCCGACTTTTGGGAGGTGAAAACATTCCTATGGAGTGTGGAGGAGGAGGGTCTGAAAGCTGAGGAGACCCGGGACAGGGCAGGCCGATGGAGGGAGGGGAGAGGTGAGGGCAGGAGCCCACCCAGGGGCCTGGGAACATGGGGAGCAGGGCCAGAGAGAGGGCATGGGGGCACCCCCAGGTGGACTCCTGACCCCTTTGCAAGGGCTTGCTTATGAACAAAGTGAATCAGATCGGGCTGGTCGAAGGAAGTGGGCATCGAGAGGTCAGGGCCTTCGGGACCCTGGTGCCCCAGGGAAATGTAGGGCCTTGTGGGTGTGGGGAGGCTGGCGGTCAGCACCTCCCCAGGGTGCCTGCCTTGGGTTCCCCAAATGTGTTCACGCGCTGCCTGCCCACAAGGCATGGTGTGTGCTGGGCGCCCTCTAGTGGTTGGGGGACCCCAGCCTTGTTGGCCCAGAGATCTCCCTGTGGCTAGGGCAGGAAAGGGGGCTAGGGCACTGGTGGATATTGGGATTTGCTCCAAACCCCAATAGGGGCATCTGACCCCCAATCTGCCTTCCTTGGAGCATTCAAGATCCTTTCCCACCTGGGACTTTTTGCTTCTATAGGGCCTCATCCCTGTTCCAACAGCTGGCATCCACTATCGCCCCCGGCCCCCCACCCCTCCATGCAGGCTGGGGTTCCCCATGTGCACCACAGCATGCTGGGGCCTGAAAGGCCATCTGGTCCCTCTCCCCACTCTTTGCATATTTGTGTACAGGAAGAAGCCTCAAATTCGGGTTGGGGCCCTCGATTCTGGTTTAGGTTCCATCTCCAGTTCTCTGTGTGTCCTTAGGGAAGTCCCTTAACTCTCTTTGTACATCCTTCATGTTCTCTCCATCTGTGGTGGCAGAATTCTCCTAGAACCTCCAGTGATCTTTGCCCTTGTCCACTCCCCTCCCACTGAGCGTGGGCAGAACCTGTGAATGTGGTATCACATCGTGGTTAGGTTGTGTTATACGGCACATACAGAGAATTTATCCAGGTGGGCCTGCCCTAATCACACCAGCCCTTTAAAAATAGAGAGTTTTCTCTGGCTGCTTGTGGAAGAGGAAATGAGAGAGATTTGAAGCAGGAGAAGGATCAACGTATGGGACACCCTCTGTTGCTCAGATGGAGGGGGCCACAGGGCAGAGACCTGAGAATGGCCTCTAGTCACTCAGAGCAGTCCCCAGCTGACAGCCAGCAAGACAATGGGGACCTCAGTCCTACAGCTGTGAGGAACTGAATTCTGCTGACAACCAGTGAGCTTGGAAGAGGATCCAAGCCCCAGATGAGATTGCAGCGCTGGCCAACCCCTGGATTTCAGCTGGCGAGCAGAGAACCCAGCCACACCGTGCTGGCCCTCTGACCTCCTGAACTGTGCAGTAATCAACCGTGCTGTTTTAAGGCAATAAATTTGTGGAAATTTGTTACGCAGCAACAGGAAACGAATACATCATCTGTCCCAAAAGAACAGTATTCTAGATACACGTGTACACAAAAGTTTAAAAATGAGAAAAATTGATTCCCCCTCCACACGGGTGCTACATAGAGTCAAGCCTGCAGCAGCCGCCTGTGCTGCCAGTCCTCCCTCCTGGCCACAGGTTAAATCCCCCTTTTTGGGGCTCACATGACTCACACTAATTTCCAACCAGCCTGGGATGAGGGCAGGTTTGTTCTGAGAAAGGTTGTGCTGATGGCACCATCAGAGCAACCAGGTCCCATTTTGGCCGAAGAAAGGAGCCCTGAAACCTTCAGATCTAGGATCTGGGGGATCCCATGATTTCTGGGGCTCTCTGGATTTCTGGCCATCTTTAGGGTCAATAAAGCTGTATTTATTTTGCTGAGGAAGATTCGCCCTGAGCTAACATCTGTGCCAATCTTCCTCTATTTTATATGTGGGCCACTGCTACAGCATGGCTGACAAGTGGTGTAGGTCCACGCCCAGGATCTGAACCCGCAAACCCAGGTCGCCAAAGTGGAGTGCACTAAAGGTAACCACTATGCCATGGGGCTGGCCCCAAAGATGTTTTTAAATAATGGCTTTATTAGATGTAATTCACATACCATATTATTCACCTAAGTAAAGTGTACAATTATTAGTGTATTCACAGGTTGTGCACCCACGACCATACTCAACTTGGGAACATTTTCATCAGCCTGCAAAGAAGCCCCCCATACCTATTAGCAGTCCCTTCCCTTTTCCCTCTGACTCCTTCTCATTCCCTGACAGCCACTAATCTGCCTTCTGTCTCTATGGATTTGCCTATTCTGGACATTTCATAGAAATGGAATTGTACAATATGTGGCCTTTTACTTCTGTCTTCTGTCACTGAACATAATGTCCTCAAGGTTCATCCATGTTGTAGCAGATATCAGTACTCCATTCCTTTTTTGTTTATCAACTTTATTGAGATATCATTCACTTACCATACAACTCACTGATTTAAAGAGTACAAGTCAATGTGTTTAGTACATCACGGAATTTGTGCAACCATCATTACAGTCAATTTCAGAACAATTTTGTCACCGCAAAGAGAAACCCTGTACCCATTAGCAGTCACTCCCCATTCTTTCCTCCCCCTAGCTCCTGGCAACCATTCCTTTACTTCCTGTCTCTATGGATTTGTCTATTCTGGACAGTTTGTATAATGGAATCACACAGTATGTGGCCTTTTGTGACTGGCTTCTGTCACTTAGCATGTTTTCAGGGTCATCCATGTTGTGGCGTGTGTATCAGTACTTCATATGTTTTTGTGGCTAATACTCCACTGTATGGATAGACCACATTTTATATATCCCTTCATCACTAAAGCCTGTTGATGACTCTCATCCAATCCTCTTACCTGGAATTTGGGGGCAAGGCTGGGGGAAGGGGAGCAAGTGGGAAGAAAGGGAGCTGGGTGCTAGCTCAGTGGATGATAATCTGCATTTCTAACACATCGTCCATGGGCAGTTATTTGATTACACTCTTTACAGAAACTCCCCTTTTAAAGGACAAGTGGTCTGTGGGCTGATTTTCACAGCACCTGATCCTGTGCGGGGGCATTTCTCCTGTAAAGCAGGTGAGCGCCCCGTTCAATGCAAAGAACCTTATAACATGCTTGCTCTCTTGCAGCTGGGGAAAGTTTTAGCAGGGGAGGGGGGAAAGCCAGCCCCGCCTCTGTCCCTCCAAACCCTGTCATTCTCCCTGGGCCAGCTCAGACACCTCTGGCCACAGCCACCCATGGCAATCCAGTACCAGTGATGATAGCAACTACCACTTACTGATGCTGTGACATGCCAGGTGTGTCACCAATTTCCCATGACACCCTGTAAGCTAGGCGCTGTACGGCCTCTGTTTTTGTTTTTGTTTTGGTGAGGAAGATTGTCCCTGAGCTAACATCTGTGCCAATCTTCCTCTATTTTATATGTGGGATGCGACCACAACATGGCCTGATGAGTGGTGTGTAGGTCTATGCCTGGGATTCGTACCCAAGAACGCCAGGCCGCCAAAGCAGAGCACGCGAACTTAACCACTACGCCACCAGGCCAGCCCCCAGCCTCTGTTTTTTGAGGAAGCTGAGTCAGGTTGAGGGTTTCGCCTGGGGTCACCCTGGAACTGGGGTTCAGACAGAGCCTGGATTCTGAACCACTCTGCAAGGCTTCTAGTCCTTTCTGGAACTCTTGTCTGAAGAGCAGGGAACGTGTGTAGACAGAGATGAGGTCCGAGGAGTGTGGCCTAGGGGTGTCCCAGATGTCAAGCAAAAAAGAATTTCAAGATCCGTTTTGGTGAAGACAGAAACCAGAGCTCCTTGGAGGTCACCAGTGACTCTATAGAGAGCAGTTTTCATGGAGCCTAGGGGGCGGATGAGTAGGAGGGAAGCGGGGAGGGATCATAAGCACCCACCTTGGGGAGTTCTGCCCCGAAGGAGAGCAGGGAGGGTGGTGGCTGGAAGGGGGTGTCGGGGGCGTGGGGTTTTGTTTTCTCAGTGGGAATAAGGACGGCTTATTCTTGGTGCTGGGGACCTCCCATAAAGGGCACACAGCGAGATGCAGGAGAGCAGACAGCTGCTTGAGAGATAGCTTCAAACGACACCTGTGGAGGGTTCCCCATGCAGGCACAGAGCACAGACATTCATGCAGACTCAGGGACAGGTAGGGAGGCAGAGGTGGTGACGGAGCACGTGGGATTTCTCTTCAAATTGCTTCCATTTTCTGAGAAACAGGACGTGAGGTCATGAGCTGAGAGTGAGGTGGGGAGGAGGAGGAGACGGGAGAAGGTGGAAGGGAGATTGGACCAGGGCAATAGGAAGGGATCGCCAGCCGTTCAAGGACCCACTCGAGGGTCTTGGTCCGGCATTTAAAAAGAAGACCTGTCAGCGAGGCTGTGGGGCTTCCTTTTCCCAGTCCTGTTCAGCCCTGGGGGTTAGAGGCAGAGCAGGCGAGGTTAGACTTGCAAAGAAGAGGGTATGCAAGAGAACTATATTGATGGGCTGTGAACTCTAAGCTGGATAAGGAGGGAAGTGAGAAGATAAAGGGGCAAGGCCGTGGTTGGACCAATGGGGTTGGGCCCATTGACCATTTTTGTTATTGTTTATTAATTTCTCTTATTGTGGTAAAATGTATATAGTCAGCCCTGATGGTCTAGTGGTTAAGATTTGGCACTCTCACCGCTGTGGCTGGGGGTTTGTTTCCTAGTCAGGGAACCACACCGCTCGTCTGTCGGTTGTCACACTGTGGTGGCTGCGTGTTGCTGTGACACTAAAAGGTATGCCATCAGTATGTCAAATACCATCAGGGTCCCCCATGGTGGACAGGTTTCAGTGGAGCTTCCAGACTAAGGCACACTAGGAAGAAGGACTTGGCCACCCACTTCTGAAAAAATTGGCCACGAAAACTCTGAATAGCAGTGAAGCATTGTCTGATAGAGTGCTGGAAGGTGAGAGGATGGCGCAGAAAGACCAGGCAGGGTTCTGCTCTGCTGTACACAGGGTCACTAGGAGTCGGAATCTACTTAAAGGCATTTACAACAAAAATATGTGTAAGATAAAATTTGGCATTTTAACCATTTTAAAGTTACATTTACATACAATGTAATTACATGTAAATACATGTATTCACAATATATACAATTCAGTGCATTAATTACATTGACAATGCTGTGCAGCCATCACTACTATCTATTTCCAACATTTTCCATCACCCTAAACAGAAACTTCATACCCAATAAGCAATAACTCCCCAGTCACCCATCCCCCCAGCACCTGGTAACCTCTAGTCTATTTTCTGTCTCTATGAATTTGCCTATTTTAGATATTTCATATAAATGGAATCATATGTGACCTTTTGTGTCAGGCTTATCTCACTGAGCATAATGTTTTCAAGGTTCATCCATGTTGTAGTATGTAACAGATCTTCATTCCTTTTAAAGCTGAATAAGGGCCGGCCCAGTGGTGTAGCGGTTAAGTTCATGTGTTCTACTTTGGCAGCCCAGGGTTTGTGGGTCTGGATCCCGGGTGTGGACCTACACTGCTCATCAAGCCATGCTGTGGTGGCATCCCATATACAAAATGGAAGAAGATTGACACAAATGTTAGCTCAGGGACAATCTTTCTCACACACACACACAAAATGTATATATAAAAAGCTGAATAATATTCCACTGCATGGATGGACCACATCTTGTTTATCCGTTCCTCACTTGATGGACACTGGGTTGTTCATACCATTTGGCTATTGTGAATAAGGCTGCTGTGAACACTGGTGTATAATGATCTGTCTGAGTCACTGTTTTCATTTCTTTGGATGTATGCTTAGGAGTGGAATTGCTGGGGCATATTGTAACGTCTGCCTGGTTTTGTATGGCCCACAAAATAAGAATGGTGTGGGAGACCAAATAATGGTACCCCGAGATGTTTGCATCCTAAACCCTGGTACCTGTGAATGCCACCTTGCATAACAAAAGAGGCTTTGAAGATGCGACGAAGTTAAGGATCTTGAGATGGGGAGATTACTCTGGACTAACTGGGTAGGCCCAAGGTCATCATAAAAGGGAGACACGCGGGTCAGAGAAGGAAGATGCGATGAAAGAAGCAGATGCTGAAGTGATACACTTTGAAGACGGAGGAGGGGGCCACGAGCCAAGGAACAGGGCCAGCCTCGAGAAGTTGGGAAAGGCAGGGAAATGGATTTTTCCCTGGAGCCCCAGAAGGAACCAGCCCTGCTGACACCTTGATTTCACCCAAATATAACCCATTTGGACTTCTGACTTCCAGAGAATACCTTTATGTTGTTTTAAGCCACTAAGTTTGTGGCAATTTGTTACAGTAGCAATAGGAAACTATACAACTAACTTTAAGGTGCCCTTTACAGAAAAGGTTTGCTGACCCCTTATTTAGAGCAAGCAGCTGATGGGGAGAGTCAGAGGTCGAGGATCTAAGGGGTTGTGCTGAACACTCTGAGGGCTCCAGAGTGCACAGCGGACTGAGTTTAGGAGTTGGGAAGAGGGGGGGATGGGGTCAGACTAAGGGATGTACAGAGCCTCTTGGGAATAGGGGACAGCCTGGAGTTTGGGGACTTCTTGTGCTTTTACTGTAAAGAGGGGTAAGTGATGGGTGAGAGCAGGGAGCGGGGACAGTGATGGTATTTCAGGCCTTGGGGCAGGAGCTGGCTGAGCAGCCAGTGCAGGGGGGGTTGGGTTTGTGTATCTGGTTCCCTTTTTTTTAAGGAAGATTAGCCCTGAGCTAACACCCTCGCCAGTCCTCCTCTTTTTGTTGAGGAGGAGTGGTCCTGACCTAACATCCGTGCCCATCTCCCTCTATTTTTTATATATGGAATGCCTGCCACAGCATAGCCTGATAAATGGTATGTAGGTCCATGGCCGGATCCAAACG